TGGTTTTACAGTTTCTAGATTATCCATTGGTTATGGAAGCATTAGGCAGGTGGCATCAGAGGAAGTGTTGTAAATTAGGCATTGTAATCTCTGTTCTGACTTTCCATTTTTCAGAAGCACTAATACACTTTCTTATTTCTGTCTAGCTGTAAAACAATAAAATATTCTGGCTCTTAACATATGTTAATACGGTAATCATTTGTTAAAGTTATGTAAAATGTCACGTATCTATGAAGTTTGCATATTTTTGGAACTCAACTGCTAAGCACATAAGAATACTCCATGACTGGGTAGGATACTGATCCACTCATCAGATGTATAATACATGTCACAGATTGTAGGTTTTCTTTAAACACATATGAACCACCAGGCCAGTGTTATGCATAGGTGACAATAGGCAGCTGTGATTGGGATGATAAAGCCACACCTCAAAGACCTGCCAGACTGAAGGTTTTCCCTCTAGCCTGCCTTCAGGAAAAGACACTATCTTCAGATAAAATCAATGTATTTAGCAAGTCATATGCTAGGATCACTTTTTATTACATAAACTATTAATCCACATTATTCTTTCAGCATCTAGCAGGGCCATGAGGAGAAGGGCCACAGTCAGAGGCATTTTGAAAGGCTCAAGCTGATATGAAATCATGAAACGTATGTGTGTGTGTGTGTGTGTGTGTGTGTGTGTGTGTGTGGAGGAGGGAGGGGAAGAACTCCAGGTAGCAGGGGGACAGCTAGTGGGTGGAAGGCACCTGTGGGAGGAAGCTCTGAAAGAAAATCTGGGACTTTTGCCAAAGATATACTTGCTTCCAATGTTGGCCTAGGGCTGGATCCGTGAGTTACAAGTGAGAAAGCAATGCAGTCTTTCATTTTTTAGATAAAGCCAAATTTTGCAGGTAAGCTCTTTGGACGCACTTTGTTCTGTCCAACACAGGAAAGACAGAATAACTTTACAGGCATCACTGGTATAGAGGTGAAGAATTTCGCATTTTCCTGTGTTATAAAAGCCATATAAAGTCTGACTCACTGAGTATTGAAAAGGAAAAATAATTATCACTGTATGTTGCTATGTAAATACAGATTCTTTTTACTATGATTCCAAAACTTAAAATGAAGGTAACTTTTCTGATAATTGCCCTTGACATTTTTCCACTGGCCACTTCACAAAGGAATCAAATCCAAATGCTACATAATTTAACTAGATGTCATGCAATTTAACTGTATGGTAATAAAAGTAAAGATAACACATCAGGACATTTGACAAAGTTCACTGGTAGGTGCCTTCCATTTCTAATCTATCCCTACATTTTACCCTTTTTATTTAATTTGCTCTATTCAACACAAACTATTTTAGTTGCATATAAAAAAGAAAGTTTTACTGACAACTTCCCTCCTCTTAAAAAATAAAAGTGACCACTCCATGTTTTATCATATTCACTTCTATACATTTTACCACAGTTAATTGAGAAAGACTCAAGGACTTTAGAATAAATTTTAGAGAAAAAATTCAGTATTTATTTAGCTTTAGATTGTTAAGCATGATTAATAGATTGTATTACTTTTCTCTTTTCTCATTAAGTTTTAATTTTTTCATTAAGAACATTTGGCCTTGCATAAGTTAACTAAAGCAAACCATACAGGAATATCCTTTGGACTGAAACAAAAGAACTTGATAAACATTATTTGTATCTTGGCTCTCTAGTCCTGTTATACAACGGCCTTAATATTAAAGAACCATCTTATAACTGGAAATTGAATGGTTCTTCGTTGGTTTCTTTAAAAATAAAGAGTCTTTAATCTCTTTTTGCCGACTAAGATAGTCTTATGGTTTAAATATATTTTACAAATTTGTTCCAATAGTTAAATTAAAAATGTCTAATATTTTCAAGTACTTAAACATTTATGATTTTAAGCTCCCAGAAGAAATGTGATGCTGAAGGGAAAAAAAATAAAGAGCTGTTAGTCAGAAAACCACTTATGTAAGAACTATGGTCATAGGTTTGAAAGCAGGAAGTCCTGTGTTTTAGACTTAAGGCTTTAAGGAATGTTTATTGAGCATTTTTCCCTCTCAGCGCTGAGAAATATGGCTGTTGAGTGAAATCTTGAGAATGTTTACAGCTTAATGCTCAATAGAAAAATAAATAATCACAACCCTAACTTATAAAATTCTTTGACTGAATTAAGTGAACATCACCAGAGGAGTGACCCTCATAAATCTAATCATAGATTCACATAGGGTGAATCATTTTAGAATAAGCATAAGTAATATGTGGTAAATTTACCTTCAAGTTATGTCGCTTCCAGTTCCTGGAGGAAATCCATAGGCCTAACCTTGTTTTCATGTAAATTCTTCCTCAGGCCTTATAATTTATCCCTAGGAAGTTTCAAGCTTTTAACTACTGTTTTCTTAGCTTTTCTTCCATTCTCCATGCTCTAACTCTTGTTTATTTGTTATAAAAATAACCTAAATGCTCTTAGTGCTTCTCAAAAATATATTTCAGTTCACTACTTGTAACATTAGACATATGATAACCCATTTGACAACTTGTCTTTTTATGCGATCAGTAGCAGTGTTACAACTCAGAGTCTTAAAACGGGAGATGTTGTATAAATCTGGTCAAGTTATCTCGTGAAACACTAATATAAATGGTATCTTAACTTTTCCTATTATTTTTAACTAGTTCCTTTCTTTTTCTTTATTTAAACTTTCCGGGATGTTCAAGGATACTCTACAAGTATACGTATAAATTGTCTAACCAGAAGAATTTAGAATGCAACTTTAGCATCAGTTGATTTTTGCTAGGCAGGTTATATTCTGGTGGCACCTATTCAATTCCTTGTCATGACTTTTAGGAAGGGCAGGATGGTTTTACAGTTTCTAGATTATCCATTGGTTATGGAAGCATTAGGCAGGTGGCATCAGAGGAAGTGTTGTAAATTAGGCATTGTAATCTCTGTTCTGACTTTCCATTTTTCAGAAGCACTAATACACTTTCTTATTTCTGTCTAGCTGTAAAACAATAAAATATTCTGGCTCTTAACATATGTTAATACGGTAATCATTTGTTAAAGTTATGTAAAATGTCACGTATCTATGAAGTTTGCATATTTTTGGAACTCAACTGCTAAGCACATAAGAATACTCCATGACTGGGTAGGATACTGATCCACTCATCAGATGTATAATACATGTCACAGATTGTAGGTTTTCTTTAAACACATATGAACCACCAGGCCAGTGTTATGCATAGGTGACAATAGGCAGCTGTGATTGGGATGATAAAGCCACACCTCAAAGACCTGCCAGACTGAAGGTTTTCCCTCTAGCCTGCCTTCAGGAAAAGACACTATCTTCAGATAAAATCAATGTATTTAGCAAGTCATATGCTAGGATCACTTTTTATTACATAAACTATTAATCCACATTATTCTTTCAGCATCTAGCAGGGCCATGAGGAGAAGGGCCACAGTCAGAGGCATTTTGAAAGGCTCAAGCTGATATGAAATCATGAAACGTGTGTGTGTGTGTGTGTGTGTGTGTGTGTGTGTGTGTGTGTAGGAGGGAGGGGAAGAACTCCAGGTAGCAGGGGGACAGCTAGTGGGTGGAAGGCACCTGTGGGAGGAAGCTCTGAAAGAAAATCTGGGACTTTCGCCAAAGATATACTTGCTTCCAATGTTGGCCTAGGGCTGGATCCGTGAGTTACAAGTGAGAAAGCAATGCAGTCTTTCATTTTTTAGATAAAGCCAAATTTTGCAGGTAAGCTCTTTGGACGCACTTTGTTCTGTCCAACACAGGAAAGACAGAATAACTTTACAGGCATCACTGGTATAGAGGTGAAGAATTTCGCATTTTCCTGTGTTATAAAAGCCATATAAAGTCTGACTCACTGAGTATTGAAAAGGAAAAATAATTATCACTGTATGTTGCTATGTAAATACAGATTCTTTTTACTATGATTCCAAAACTTAAAATGAAGGTAACTTTTCTGATAATTGCCCTTGACATTTTTCCACTGGCCACTTCACAAAGGAATCAAATCCAAATGCTACATAATTTAACTAGATGTCATGCAATTTAACTGTATGGTAATAAAAGTAAAGATAACACATCAGGACATTTGACAAAGTTCACTGGTAGGTGCCTTCCATTTCTAATCTATCCCTACATTTTACCCTTTTTATTTAATTTGCTCTATTCAACACAAACTATTTTAGTTGCATATAAAAAAGAAAGTTTTACTGACAACTTCCCTCCTCTTAAAAAATAAAAGTGACCACTCCATGTTTTATCATATTCACTTCTATACATTTTACCACAGTTAATTGAGAAAGACTCAAGGACTTTAGAATAAATTTTAGAGAAAAAATTCAGTATTTATTTAGCTTTAGATTGTTAAGCATGATTAATAGATTGTATTACTTTTCTCTTTTCTCATTAAGTTTTAATTTTTTCATTAAGAACATTTGGCCTTGCATAAGTTAACTAAAGCAAACCATACAGGAATATCCTTTGGACTGAAACAAAAGAACTTGATAAACATTATTTGTATCTTGGCTCTCTAGTCCTGTTATACAACGGCCTTAATATTAAAGAACCATCTTATAACTGGAAATTGAATGGTTCTTCGTTGGTTTCTTTAAAAATAAAGAGTCTTTAATCTCTTTTTGCCGACTAAGATAGTCTTATGGTTTAAATATATTTTACAAATTTGTTCCAATAGTTAAATTAAAAATGTCTAATATTTTCAAGTACTTAAACATTTATGATTTTAAGCTCCCAGAAGAAATGTGATGCTGAAGGGGAAAAAAATAAAGAGCTGTTAGTCAGAAAACCACTTATGTAAGAACTATGGTCATAGGTTTGAAAGCAGGAAGTCCTGTGTTTTAGACTTAAGGCTTTAAGGAATGTTTATTGAGCATTTTTCCCTCTCAGCGCTGAGAAATATGGCTGTTGAGTGAAATCTTGAGAATGTTTACAGCTTTTGTCTGTCATTCTGTTGCAGCCCGGAAGATGGGGAGATCCACCCAGAAATCTGCCGGCTTTACATCCAACTGCAGTGTTGCTTAGAAATGTACACAACAGAAATGCTAAAATCCATATGTCTGCTGGGGTCTCTTCAGTTTCATCGAAAAGGTATCTATCTACATTTAATATATTGCCATAAACACTGAGGAATGTTAAACAGAATCTCTTTGCAAAGGCCTATGTGCACCATATATCTGTCTACACACAATTAGAATGGATCTAAGTGTTCAGGAAATGTTATAAATTAATAAAAGAAGTCTGTATCAGTACTAAGTACATAAGAACACTGATCATCTTGAACAGAAATTACGGTAGAAACTGCTCTCAAATTTATTATTTTACCACTTGTGAGTATGACTGGTTAGAATCAGCATAGGCAGCAGAAATATATAATGCTCTTATTATGAGGGTAATAAATGCTATCCAAGATTGCTGCTAAGTCCCTAAATGAATTCAGTTGCAAGAAGATAAATTACATATTTTGTTCCAAAGGTTTATAAATACTGGGGACTTAACAAAATAGGGAGGCATTTTAGTAATAGAAAAATCTCATTCCTTGGCTTAAGCCATAAAGGGAATATATTGGCTCAAACCTTCACGGGTGGCAGTGGCTTTAGCGTGGTTTGATCAGACTTTTGACTCCCATTCTGAGTGATGCTCTGCTTTCTCCCCAGGGTTGGCTTTACCCTCAAGCTGCCTTCCCCAACATTAGTGAACAGATTCCAATAGTTCCAGTCATTACATCTGCACACCGCAGATCCATAAAGGGAGAGTAATTCTCCCCATTATGGACTAGCTAATGTCTGGAGCTTCGTGCTGATTGGACCAGGTCAGATCATGGGCCTCTACTCAACCCATCACTGTAACCTGAGGGATAGAATTATACAGATTGGTTCAAGCAATCAAGGCCCATTCCTGGAGCTATGGTGTGAGGAGAGGAGTCAGCCGACCCAATCAGTAGCTATTACATGATGGGACAGGGTGGGGTAGAATGGATGCTGGAGAGGAAGTCAGAAGTTTCCATTACCAGAGGATTCAATCTATACTTTCTTTACTAATTCATCAAACAATAATTTATTGGAAACTTCCTGAATGCAAACATTTTATGCTTGAGCTCAGGAGAATAGGGGGATGCAAAGAAGGTAATCCTTGTCTATAATTTAAATTCAGAGATAGAGAAGGTTGGTAAACTCTCCGATGCTCAGGGAAAATCTTGTAGAAAGGGTGGGTCTTGAGCTAGTTTGTCAAGATAGAGTTCAGGTAGGAAAGGAAAAAGAAAGACCTTTCAGGTGAAGCAGCAGTGAAAGGAGAGATCTGAACTCAAGTGAGAATGCAATTTGGGGGGAACTAAATGACAAGATGAAGTATTTGTAAAAATCCCATCTTGTGTATACACACACATATGCACAAGGCAGAACTAAAAATAAGATGCTATGCTGCTCCAAAGACAGGAAAACATTTACTCAGTGCATAAATATTTTTTCCTTTTTCCTTCTAAAGCCTGACCTTGCAAGAATTTCCACATTTACTTCTGTTATTAATACAAGTGAACACGTTTAGAAAAATCAGCTCCTTGACACTCCTGATGCCTGATGAGAAAACAGAACACTCAGACACACTGATGATAGTCAAACAGGTTGCCACTGGCCCAGTGTTTTACTGTCCTCTCTGTTTATTCTCTCTCTCTCTCTTACTCTCTTTCACATACAGAAGTGCATTCATATATAAAAATACACATACAGAGTAGTATTTGCATTCTTTCTAATTATGCTTGAATAGGTAGAGTATGTATAGTTCTTTCCCCAGGTCTGTACTGGCTATACTTTCAGTATTTCATGCCCATGTTGCCACTGAAATCTCATGTTGACATGTCCTTAACGCCCAGTGGCTTCCATTCCCACTCTCCCTCTCCTTGGTCTGCCATCCATTCATACTTTCTGTCTTTTCACATTTGACTTTTGAAAAGACAACTTCTCTGCTAGCTCTCTGTTTAAAAGTAAAAAGTATTCCCTCATCCAGATTTCTTCCTTAGCACATTTGGTCTTGAGCACACAAACAAAGAACACATCCCCTCTTAGCTGATCAGCTCATTTGGTCTTCACTGCCTCCTGTCTTCTGTGTTAATCTCTGATCTGCTTCCTTACCTGCCTCTTCTTTTAAAAAATCCTAAACCCTTGCTCCCTGCTCTTGGGCACAGAAAGTGCCCAACTTTCTGTGTACAACTCTAAAAAGAATATGCCCAATAGCATCCGTGATTTCTCCCCCAAATAGAATTAAGTTTCCACTTGGATTTCTATTTTATCCTTCTAAAATCATTATCATGTACAGTATGACTCCTTAGAAAATCTGCTTCAGAATTATCCAGGATGTTGGATAAACATGGAGACTCATGCATCCAGTCTAGGACCTACTGAATCAGAATCTGTAGGGGAGCTCCAGGTTATTCTGAAACACAGTGAAGATTGAGAACCGTTGCTTTACCCTTTGAAACAAAAGGAAATCACCCTACCATATCAATAAAATTAAAACTCTCAAGCCCTTACCTTGCCATTCTCAATTCACCTAAGTACATACTTTCAACTTTGTTGTATGCTTTCCCCTCTGTCCCCCAAGCTGGCAAAAAGTAAATACGAAAGTAGTAGATTCTCTGATGATTGTGAGCTGTGTGATGGCTCATATAGCACATTTTCTGACATGACTGTTGAAATAAAACCAAGGTGCACCAAGTGAAGTCTGAACAACAGCCTCAGGGTCACTTGTTAGAAATGCAGACTCTCAAACCTCCCCCCAGATCTACTGAATTAGAAATGCCTCTGTATTTACTTTTTTCTTGCTGCTTAAAAAAAATTAAAAGAACAATTCACTGGAACACACCTTCAGATGAATATATTGGTAAACTGCTGCTCACCATCTGTAATCAGCAAGCCATATTTCTCTATTCTTTTTGGAACTATGTATATACCACTTACTCCTGACAAGCCTCTTGTGTTTCCAGAATGTATGTCCTGGAGCTAAATGTCTTATGGATTGCTACCTTCAGGTACCCATAGAGTTAAGGCAATGAGGAGGAGACTTCCTTCTTGGTGAGAAATTCTCAGATTGGGAATAAAGAAGATAGGTAATATTTAGGGTCAAAAACCTACATGGAAATCCATCACTAGCAGTAGGCACCAGGAAAAATGTCATTAAACCAGAGAAAATAAAGCACTGGAAAAACATATGCATGAAAATATACAATTGACAAATTTCCTGGAAATTACTGGAAGTCCAAATAAAATACTAGCTTTTTGGAGAGTAATGATTCCATTAAAATCATTTTTAATTTTCCTTGTTCTGTATTTGTATTCTAATTCTTTTATATTTCTTTATTATACCTAAGGGATTAACTCTATAATGATTGTTTTGGACTCCAAGCTTGTTTGTACCATTTGCTAATTTATACTCCCACCATTAGAAGATCATAGAAAATGTCAACTTGATGTCACTAGTTTTTGTTCTTTCTTTGGTATCACTGGAAACTGTAGAGGAACCTGAGTTCAGAAGCCTCCAGCTAGTAAACACACAACAGGTATATGAAATGTGCAGCTGATGATCTGGGAGGCCCCAGCCCGAAGGACAGACATACTTGACCCTGGTGACTGTGGACTGCCAGAAATGCGTTAAGGAAGAAATACGTCCACAAATCACAGCATAAGAGTATTAAATTTTGAGAGAAAAGTTGGGGGAATTAAGAGATGTAACTAACATGTATCTTTTCCTGGAAACGTAGAGCTTCTACTCATAGAAGTAGACAAGGAGTCAGCAAGCCTGAGAAACCTGTCTGCAGTAATGGAGAAGGTGACAAACCAATGCCTCCCCTTCATGAAGACAAGAAATGCAGGAGGTGGGGAGGAAGGGGTTGCTAATGTGACTAAGAAATGGACTCAGGGTGTATGATTAAGGAAAAAATATGTATAGACTAAATAAGTGACAGAGGCGACAGTGAAGTATAGGGGTACACTATAGTGTAGATTCCTAATTTCAGGCAAGGTGGTAGAGGTGGCAGGCAGAAGCTGGACTGAAGAAATCAGTCTCCTTTCCCGTGTGTGTGTGTGTATGTGTGTGTGTGTGTGTAAATTTATACATATTATATATACTATGTAGAAGTATCTATATTTATATTTAATATAAATAAATATTATATTTATATCCCCATGATAGATATAAATGTTAAATTACATATAGGAAGATATATATATATATATATATATATATATAAAAGTTATGTCTTAGCAAAAAGGAGAATTTGTCCACTAGAAAGAAGTCTGTCTACTCTTCTTTCCAATATAATACTCTTTCCAAACAGTTTTCTCTGGTGTGGCCTCAGGGTAGGAAAGGATCTAACTAGATGACCTAAGCCCCTTCCTGCAAGAAGTCAAATAGCCCTGAGGTAATAGTGACTCCCACTCTAGTCTGTGACACACAATCTCTTTCTGGTATGTTTATTTTAATGTTGTGATAAAAACTAGTATTTTGGTAACTTTTAGGTTAGCTCATTTCTTCTCTATGTGTTTCAGGTTGGCCATTCCCCTCTTTACTATTTCTTTTCCAATAAGGAAAAGAAAGGATTTGTAATTGAATCATTCAGTTTGGCTCTGAGTCTCTGGTCAATTTTTTGTTGAGATTAACTACTGAGTCCAAATTGTTTCACAGTTATCTATACTTTTACCTTATTTTTATTTCTGGCTGCCACCAGAAGTCTGGCAACTTAACAGCTTTACTATTGTATTGGGTCATCATGAATTCACTCTTTGGAGAAAAAGAACACACAAGGTCACTGCAGGGGTAAAGGGTATGGTTTCACACTGAGAGAAGTAAGCCTCAAGTCATTTTAAAGCTCCTGCAGTAAGCTTGAATTTAGTAGTGGAGATTGTCCTTCTCTACCAAGTAAGCAAATTATAAGTATCCTTAGTCCTTAACAATACCTTCAGTGGATCCTCATGCTCTCTCTATGCACCATGTGCTTCTGAGTTTTTGCAGCCATGTCAATCTGATTGGTATAATCTATTTGGAAACCTTTTATACTTTACAAAATCATGCTATTGCCAAAAAGAATGAAGAAAAACAGT